ACAATAACCCTGCACGTAGCTTTAAATGCAAAAGACACCACTTTAAGGCTTTCACGTCTAAAGCACATCATTGTTTCCTGTATACTTTCCATAATTCATCTAAGTGTACAGGGATAAACGGTTTCTCATCACCCATTACAGAAGTCCAAATGCACAGAAATCTATAAGGGTCTTCATATTGGTGAGTTGATTGGTATGTTTTACTATGAAATAACTTAAATGCCTTTTCATTCTCCAGCTGCTCGAGGTATGTGATGGATATCCTTCTTGATTATGTTGCACTGCTGCATACAGACAGCTTTTGCCACTGACCTATGTGTTCGAGGATTCTTATCTGTTACAACATGCCATTCCTTGCTTACTGTGGCTAGGGTATGACTTCTTGTAAACCTCTCTCTGGATGGTCCCGATTCCCCAAGTTATTCTGTATGCCTTTACTTCCTACACCTTTGAGTACAAGGGATATCCCCCATCTTAGAAATTCCATGTTCCCAATTCTGCTGGAAATGGTGGTTACATACTCTTCCCAAAGACAATCAATTCTATTATGATACAGAAAATATTAAGCTGATGAAAATTAAATAAGTACTCCAAAAACATTGAAGCATTAAATATGAGTACATTAGTTGCTTTTGCAAAAGTTGCCAACAGCAATGTATAGATGTTGAGTATGTTATATTAACACCAAACAACGTTAAAATGTAGTTCTGATACATTATGTTTCATTGCAACTGTATATTAGTTGTGGTTGTAAGTGACTTGCTGGTTTGCATATTAAAAACTGTTGTAATGTAACATACTCAATGATTTTCAAAATGCAAATCAGCAAGTCACAGTTAACAAAGTTTCATCTTTCAATCTTGTTCTTAAATTTGAAGCTTTTGACTGGAAACATATTTATCAAAATTGAGAATTGTAATATGTAAATTGAAGATACATCAGCTTGTTTATGAAGATGTATAAGTATGAAAATTAACCTCCAATAGAGCTACAAGCTGTACTAAGTAAAATGATACAACACTTTATTAAAATAAGGTACATAATATAAATATTATTTTTAATGAAAAAAGAACCAATTAACCACATTTTCATTTTGAAAAAAACTTAAACAATAAGTTAAAGTGAGCATGCTTGCAAATTCTAAAACATACTTTAATGATAGTGAATATTAGGTTGAGACAATTACATTTTTTTAAAATGACAAACACAAGAGCATTTCTTAAGAAAAAACATTTAATTAAACTACTGTCATGTCTCAAATAATCGTACCTATACGATTATTAATTTTGGAGAAATTTTCCACCCTAAATGATGGTATTTGGATCTGCACAATTTTTTTTTTCAGTCACCTTTAATGAAAAACACAAAATTCAATTTCATACTATGATTTCGACCTGTACAATCATTAAATGTGTAGTCTGAATTTTTTCACCCTGCACTATCATTTAAAACACAGAGTACTTTGTATATTTTGTTGTATAGAAATGATTTTAGGATATTTTAATTTATGAAAAAAAAAAGTTTAAAAATCTGTAACTACTCGCCAGTTTTAAACTGGGAGGTTTTTATTTTGGAATGGAGTTCTTGGTTTTAAGTTAAAAAGACCATGACACAGAAAATCTAACTAAACATTTTCACAAATATTTTAGTGAATCATACGATGTAGATTTTAAAAACCACACCAAGTGAACATAATCCATTCATCTCCATATAAAACACCATCAAAGTTTGGCTGCAACACGATATATACTGTCTGACAAAGGGTGAAATGTCACCAAAAAATTTTAAGTTTTCATTTAAACATGTGTAACAACTTACCTGAATTGTTTTTCCATGAGACAGCATATCAGTCTAGGTACAAGACTATATCTCAAAAAACATCCAAATTGGTCAAGAAATCAAGCTAGCTTAGAATATCCTGACTAAAATAGTGGTCTTGTTGGAATACACGAGAACTCTGGTCTTTCTTTCAATGAGACTGATATAACATGTTCCACTTGGAATTCAGCTTAAGCTGTCAGATAATTTTAATGTTAGTTCTTGTTCAAAACTCGTTATAGTAAGATTTAATTTTGTGAACTGTTTGGTAAACTTGTCCAAATTGCCTTGTAATGCTGCAAATACAGATAAGCTGGCCATCAAAGAAATATTTTCATAGTAGTCATTCCATCATAGTTTTATATATATATATATTTTAGTAGTGTATTTATTCAAAGTAGAACAACATCATCAGTCTTTTCCTTCTGAGTGAGTTTGACATTATTTGCACCTTGATAAATTTTTAGAATCTCTTACTTTTCTAGAATTCATACTTACCTGTCTGTTTCAGTTTTATCCAAGATCACCACAATTAATTTTAAAGAAAAATATTTAAGCTCTATTATAGTATGTCTGCATTTAATGTCGTTTGCTGCTATCAGTGTGATGAAGATTATACATGTGCATGCACACACGCTGGACCAAGTGCACAGTCACCAGATATAGGCAACAATGGGAGGTTTGTGGATCTAGCATTTGGAAAGACAAGTGCACAGATTTCTTCCATGTAAAATGAAGGTCAGAAGGTGGGACAAAAATAAAAACTATTTTAATATATTCAAAAGTTCACCTGTACAAAGGTTAACTGTCTGATGGACACGACTAGAGTGTTGTTGGAAGAATTAAGTAAACTATTTGGAAGGGATAAGTGAATAAACTGTATTCAAACCCAAAGGAAATAAACAAAAATTAATTTTACTTGAAGATTAACAAAAAATTACTGGATTAAAAGTAAATATTCATATATGGTCAGCAGGCTTAACAATAAGAGAAAATGTTTACAAATGAACCCGACTCAAAATGCTAAAACTGCTTTCACGATCCACATCCTCTTTCTAGTTGACAAGCACAAAATAATCACTAATATCAAGAGGCATCACTTGTCTATGTGACAATTGCAAAACAGTCCCACATAGAGATTTTTAATGTATGATACAAATCCTGGCACAGAAGGTAATATCTAGAATTGAATGGTCAAGTAACTCAACCAGAATTAGCAAGCTTTAACTTAGAACTCTAACAAATAAATAAATATATATAGTTATACAATGCATGTGTGCATTTACACACACATTTTTCCTACTGTATTTTTTATGTGTTACTAAATGTATTGTAGTGAGGTATCATTGATACATGGATAACATATTTCATGTTCAAGAGTTATGTTTTCAACAAAGGCTTCCTTTTTAACACAGATGGAAATAAAATTACAATAAGCCTGGAACTATTGTCTTAGGACAATTATAATTTATAATAATTATGCATAGCCAGCTTAAAAAAAGGCTTTCACGTGAAAACAGTTACTGTTCTAACAGATGGCTTATACAAATAACATTCCAACTACAATGTTTATGATACAGCAGGTCTGATAAGCTTTGGTACTGAGTGAAACACGTTGTTAGCAATTAGATGTGGTTGAAGTACTATTATATATCCTATTTTTCAGAAACACTAAGACACTGAATAAAGGATATAGTGTTTAAAAATACAATAAGCCTAAAACTACTGTCTCGTGCTAAATACAATTGATTAAAATGTCTTCCATTCACCTTGTTTTTTTCTTACACAAGAAATTTTTATGCATTGGTCAAGAGATTCAAACACGTCCAATTTTCACTTTTAATGTTCCTCATTTGCATGTCAAGTAAATTAATTGTATCAACAAACTTCAGTAGCTTGTGTTCATAGCTTCATTTTTAATAAGAGAGTTAAGAAATATTGTCCTACATATGAGACTTGTGACTTTTCTAGTTCTTTCTTTATGTATACAAGTTTATCATATACATTTTTATCTGAAGAAACTTCTTTTTAAGGTCTGTTTTGAATGCTAATGTGTAGCTGTGAAGAAAGTAACACATCAGAACAATATTACATAAATTCCAAATTATATTTCAGCTGATAAATCAATACATGATCATGACAACAGTGCTTCTAGTACTGTAGCTTAAGTCGTAAAAACTTTTTCAACAATTACAAAGGATCATTTTGGAATGACTTATAAAAGTTCTGTATTGTGAAGAATGTTGGAATTTGATAAGTTTTTTTTTTATATACTTGGGTTGTCCTGAGCAAGACAAAGTATGATAATAGCTTCTGTTTTATACTCCTTGAAAGTAGAATCTAGAAATGTTTTAATTTGCTGTTAAGATGCTTTTCAACTGTAAAGGGAAATGGCATTATAAAACAAAATAGCACCTATTTAATTTTATTACAAAGTCCTAATTGTTTTAAACTTACCCTATACTGTTTGTTCCAAAACTTATTTTTGCACATCCAGTATGTATAAAAGTGCAAGTTTTATGTATGCAAGCCCAAAAAACCACCACATACAAGTGGAAGTTTTATATATGCGAGCCAAATCATCCACCGCATACAAGTGCAAGTTTTATGTATGCGATCCAATCAACCACCACATACAAGTGCAAGTTTTATGTATGCAAGTCCAATCAACCACCACATACAAGTGCAAGTTTTATGTATGCGAGCCCAATCAACCACCATGAATAAGTGCAAGTTATGTTTGCAAGCCCAATCAACCACCACGTATAAATGCAAGTTATGTATGCAAGCCCAATCAACCACCAGTTATAAAAAATAAATTTTATGATGGATTACTGCTATTCATTATACATTAATTTTATTAGTGCAAGCTTTCACGTTTAAAATATGTTAAATATTATTATTCGATTCTTATAATGCATGTTTGCATTTTTCAACCAAGCATAGTTATTCACTGGTTGCTATGTTCTTATCAACTATATTTTCTATTGTGTTTCCAGAAGTATAAAACATTGTAATTATTATCTTTCTCACAAGATTTTCTTCACTAAAATTTACATTTATATTTACTATAACAGTGACTGTAATTGATACACATTATACCAATGTTAATTTTTACATTAATATCTGGTAAAATTATAAATTGTTATGCATTAACTATTTATTTACTATATCCCACATAATTACTAAAATTCGATGTCAAATACAATTAATATCAATACAGTAAAAAACATCTTTATTACAATACGTTTGTTAAAAAATTACAAATTCAATAACAATTCTTATACAAAGCTGGAAACAGAAACTACACAATTTCACCTAGTTGATACAACACAAGCATTTTTTGCCACTTGTATAATAATAGCACTTCAAGGTATCATTACGAATTTAATAATAAAATATATGTACTTTGATGATGATGATAAAGCATAATGAGCTCTACAGCTGATTGTATTTTCGTACATCTGATGAACCATAGCTAAGCCTCTTGTTTTTTTAATACGTGATGAACATCATATTAATAGGCATAAGCAACTTACAGAAAGTCATTATTAATTCATTTTTCATCATGTAACTTACTGTATTTGTTTAAACAATTCATCCTTATAACTTTTCTAATACAGTTATATTCATTGAAGTTTTACTGCCACTTCTACTGTTGGTTCATGGAAACAGCCTTCTCACATTCTGTAACTTTTGATGGGTAGATCATAAAATTTTATTTATTCAACCATCCATTTAAACAGATGATCAGTTGTTGCTACAATATGTATAAAATCAAATTTAAATATTACAAAGTACACTAATATAAGCTACTTTACAGTAAATACTGGCAGTCCGTATATGACAGGTGCAGAACCAATCAGGTACTTGAGTTTACACGCTTGTCTAGCAACAGGAAGTGCAGCTGTGATAAAAGAAGCTTGAATGTCTTTTGCCTCATTTTTCCAATTGGGGAGCCACAATTCTAAGAGTGATTCTGTAAATCGGTCAATATCCTTGTCTGTCACATCCCACAAGTTGGCAACAACACATGGACTAAAGCAAATAAAAGAAGAAAAAAAAAGAATAAATGATATACATTTCTTAGAACTGACATTACCAATGAGTAAATAAAACTTCAGACATATTTGATTGTTTCGGTCTTTAGCTATTGACTTATTCATGTAATAAAAAAAAAACTGAAAATGCACAGGTATTTTGCAAGGTAACTAAGTGGTGTAGTAAGTTTGATATGTAACCTAATAGTACAGCCCTTTAAAAATCTTCTGATAAGATCTGTGATACATCAAATTTCTATTAAATAGGCATAAGTGGTTAAAACAAAAATTATTATCCATATGTTTCACTACATCTCTTAGCCTCCTGGTAGAAGGCTTCCACTTCAGCAGTTGTGGTAGGAAAAACACTTTTGAAAAGTGACAGAAAATGGACATTTTTGAACGATACTTGAAAAATATTGGTTGATTTACTCACTAACACATTCTAATGTTAACAAAAACCTAAGATGAAATATGGCAAATATTCTAAGTACTTAACAAAATTATTTTTCTCACTCTAATTTTTGACTACCAAGTGTGACACAAGTCATCTACAAAGAACTGTCATAAGAAAAAAATCTATATTGGGCACCTATTCTGTAAAGCTGCCTGTAGTAGAGACTATTACAATAGAGTATATTGTGTGTGATACTATGTCATAAGAAACAAATCTATATTGGGCACCTATTCTGTAAAGCTGCATGTAGTAGAGACTATTACAATAGAGTATATTGTGTGTGATACCATGTCATAAGAAACAAATCTATATTGGGCACCTATTCTGTAAAGCTGCCTGTAGTAGAGACTATTACAATAGAGTATATTGTGTGTGATACTATGTCATAAAAAACAAATCTATATTGGG